TGAGCAAAAGAAGCTCAGGAACTGAGTGCAAGGCTCAGGGACAACAGCAAACAAAAAAATATCTTGTTCCAGTGGCTCATGACTGCAATCCTAGCTACTCTATTCAGAAGGCTGAGATCTGAGGATCATGGTTCAAAGCCAGCCCAGGCAGGAAAGTCCATGACACTCTTATCTCCAATTAACTTTCAAAAAGCCAGAAGTGGAGCTGTGGCTCAAGTGGTAGAATACTAGTCTTGAGGATCAGCACACACACACAAAAAGAATATGGCTGAAAATTTTGTTGATACAGTATTTGTGCTTCTCAAAGAGAACAACTCTTACTAAAATGTGAGAGTTCATAGTTGTTTTTTTTTAATGAAAGTTTTTTTTTTTTGGTCACAGAACATAAGCAGAATTAATCTTAAGTGTCTATGACACCCATTGGTATTAGTAGAGGTTTTAAGTATTTAAGTATTGAGCAGAATTGCTTTTTATAGAGCATAACAACATTTCTGAGGTCTGTATTATTAGGTCTATATTAGAAGGATGCCATGGATTGGATGCTAGAGGCCTGGTTGTACAGTCACTCTTTTTTGTTTGTTTGTTTTGTTCGGTCCTGGGGCTTGAACTCAGGGACAAGGTGCTATCCCTGAGCTCTTTTGCTCAAGGCTAGTGCTCTACCATTTTGAGCCACAGTGCCACTTCCAGTTTTCTGGTGGTTAATTGGAGAGATGAGTCTCCTGGACTTTCCTACCCAGGCTGGCTTTGAACTGTAATCCTCTGATCTCAGCCTCTTGAGTAGCTAGGATTACAGGTGTGAGCTACCAGCTCCAGATTTCCAGTTACTCTTTTCAAAAATATATTTTACTATAAAATCAAACACATAAATTGAAATCATATCACAGAAAACGCTCATGCACTCATTGCCCAGCTTTGGTGGTCTTTACCTTTCTGCCTATCACTCAGTATGTTTTTCCCCCTGGGTATTTCTTTCTGTTTGTTTGGTTAAAATGCTAGGGATTAATTTCAAGCCTTCATACTTAATTCGAAAATGATCTAGCACTGAACTACTCTCCTTTGGAATTTTGAGGGATTTTTGGCTTTTCTGAAAATTGAACTCAGGGCTTTGCACTTGTTTGGCTTGCTTGCTCAGATGGCACTCTACCACTTGAGCCACATCTCTATTCTGGCTTTTGCTGCTTATTTTAGAGATGGAGTCTTAGAGAATTTTCTACCTGTCTTGGCTTTGAGCCATGATCCCTCAGCTTCCTGAGTAGCTAAGAGTACAGGAATTAGCCTCCAGTGCCCAGCTATTCCCCTGAAGATTTTAATAACAATTTAGAGATATGTTATTTCATAGAGGTTTTTATGGGGTGTGGGAAGACACTACTGAGGATGAAAGTCAGGACCCTAGGGTTTACTAGGTAAGCACCTGCCACTTGAGGCACACTCCCAGTCTTGACAAGGCATTTTTGTTGTTGTTGTTGTTCCCTAGACATTAAGAATTTATTATAGTAGGCACTGGTGGCTTATGCCTATAATCCTAACTAGTCAAAGAGGCTGAGGTCTGAGGATTGCGATTCAAAGTCAGCCCAGGCAGGAAGTACATGAGACTCTTATCTCCAGTAAACCACCAGAAAACTGGAATGGTGCTGTAGTTCAAGTGGTAGAGCACTTGCCTGGAGCTGAGGGACAGCTCCCAGGCCCAGCATTTAAGCCCAACAATTGACAAAAAAAAAATTAAAAAGTAGATTTATTTAACCTATTTGTAAATAAATCCACGTATTTAATATTATATAGTACTATTATTAAGTAAACCCATTTATTCTATTACTTAATAATTATAGATCATAAGTACAATTTACTTAATGGATTTTATTGTGTGTGTATGCTGGACCTGGGCTTGAACTCTGGGCCTGGGTGCTGTCCTGAGCTTTTTTGTCAAGGCTAGAACTTTACCACTTAAGCCATAGCTCCACTTCTGGTTCTTTTGGGTACTTAATTGGAAATAAGAGTCTTACAGGAGCTGGGAAGGTGGTTTAGTGGTAGAGCACTTGCCTTGCATGCCTGACGCCCTGGGTTCAATTCCTCAGCACCACATAAGCAAAAAGAAAAAAGCCGGAAGTGGCGCTGTGGTAGAGTGCTAGCCTTGAGCTGAACGGCTGAGGGACAGCGCCCAGGCCCAGAGTTTAGGCCCCATGACCAGACTCCCCCCCCCCCCCCCCCCCCCCAAAAAAAAAAGAGTCTTACAGATTTTCCTGCACTGGCTGGCTTTGAACCATTGTTCTCAAATATCAAATTCGATGCTAAATACTAATATTACATGCTCACAAATAACATTATGGCTGTTATTATTTCCTACATTATAGAAGAGGAAACCAAGGTTCCTGGGAGTGAGTTAAAGTCATTTACCCAAGGTTGCACAGTTAGGAAGCAATGGAGCCATGAATGAAGGGTAGGATAGCCTGGACGCATCCACTGTTCTCTTGACTAAACATTGCTGCTTATTATAACTCTAGAAGAGATCTTGCCTATTCCATAACATATAACTCCTGTCATATTTACCAAAGTGTAGCAGTCAAGGATTTGAGTTGTTTTGTATGTTCTGATGCTGGGGCTTGATCTCAGGGCCTGCGCACTATCCTTGAACTTTTTTGCTCAAGGATAGCACTATATCATTTCAGCTACTGGTGGTTAATTGTAGATAGGAGTCTCATGGACTTTCCTACATTGGACTTGCTTGGAACTGTGATCTTCAGATTTCAGCCTTCTGAGTAGCTAGGATTTCAGGTATAAGCCACCAGTACCTGCCTCAAGGATTTGTTTTGTTCATATTGCTATAGCAGGCTTCAGTAGGGCCAATGTTTGTCACTGATATAGAAAGGACAGTAAAAAGCAGTTGGAGGAGGTTAGATAGGTGTGATGGTGCTTGCATATAGTTTCAGCACTTGAAAGGCTGAGGCAGAAGGATCCAAGTTTGAGAGCAGCCTGGGTTGCATAGTGAGTTTGAGGCTAGCCTAGTAAGACCTTGTCTCAAAAATAAGCAAAACAGAATTAAAAGTATGTAAGTAGGATGATAGAAGGAAAAATTAGAGAAAAAATTTTAAGTTGTTGACCCTGGCCCTATATTCTCTCTATCCTTTCATAATGTTTCTTCTTCAAAGTTGTTATTGTTTTACCAAAGTAGAAAGTAGGAAAGGGGGAGGGAGGCTGGGAAGGTGGCTCAGTGGTAGAGCGCTTGCCTTGCATGCATGAGGCCCTGGGTTCGATTCCTCAGCACCACATAAGCAAAAAGAAAAAAGCCGGAAGTGGCGCTGTGGCTCAAGTGGTAGAGCGCTAGCCTTGAGCTGAAGAGCTGAAGGACAGTGCCCAGGCCCAGAGTTCAGGCCCCACAAACGGACCCAAAAAAAAGAAAGAAAGAAAGTAGGAAAGGGATTTTTCCCTGGATCCTGAAGTCCCTAGTGGTCTTAAGTGCCATTTATGAAGAGCCATAAATTACCCCGTGTCCTTTTTGTGTCTGTGTCCTGATTCTTCTGGTAAGGCAGTCCCTGAAAGGAAGCCTGACTGACCCTGAATCTTCGTTTCCCCTTTATCTTACTTTCCTGCTTCTCTCTATCCTCCTTCCACTTACCTTCTTTTATTCTCTCCCTCTCAACTCAAAATAGTGAGTTGAGCTGGAATCGGTGGTTCATGCCTGTAATCGTAGCTATTCAGGAGGCTGAGATCTGGCAACTTGAGATGTGTCTCCAACCTGGGCAGAAAAGTTGGCAGACTCCATCTCTAAAATAACTAGCAAAAAGCAAGATTGGAAGTAGCTCAAATAGAGTGTCAGCCCAGCAAGCAAGCTGGGCAAGCATGAGGCCCAGAGTTCAAACCCTAGTGCTTGAAAAAAAGGATTGAGGACAAGACTAATTAGCATTATGAGGTCTCCTTTCTAGCCCTGCTAGTCTGATCTTGATTACAGTATCTACTTTTTTTCTTTTGGCCAGTCGTGGGGCCTGAACTCTGGGCCTGGGCACTGTCCCTCAGCTCTTCAGCTCAAGGCTAGCACTCTACCACTTGAGCCACAACGCCACTTCCCGCTTTTTCTGCTTACGTGGTGCTGAGGAATCGAACCCAGGGCCTCATGCATGTGAGTCTACCACTGAGCCACTTTCCCAGCCCTTCTTTTTCTTTTAATTTTTTTTTTTTTGGTCATGGGGCTTGAACTCTGGACCTGGGCGCTGTCCCTGGGCTCTTCAGCTCAAAGTGAGTACTCTACCTCTTGAGCCACAGTGCCACTTCCGGTTTTCTAGTGGTTTATTGGAGATCAGAGTCTCACAAACTTTTCTATCCAGGCTGGCTTTGAACCATGATCCTCAGATCTCAGCCTCCTGAGTAGCTTGGATTACAGGCGTCAGCCACTGGCGCCCAGCTCTTTCTATATTTTTGATAGTACTGGAGTGTGAACTCAGAGCCTCACACTTGGTAAACATATGTACTACCACTCAAGTTACCCTTTTCATTGGTTGTTTTCAAGAGCTCACTTTATGCCCTGACCATCTTGGACTTTGGTCCTCCTGTATTTGTGTTTCTTCAGACTATTGGGATGTTAGGCACACACTACTGTGTCTGCCCATTATGCTTCCCTTGTGGCTTGAGATATGCACAACTAACCCAGTCATTGGTCAAGAAGGAGACTTGTGAAGTTCTTTGGCCTAGGCTGGCCTCAAACTGCAATCCTATGATCATCTGCCAAGTAGCTAGGGTTATAAGCCTGAGCCACCATGCTTGTCTCTCCTTTTCATTCCTATATCCCCTTTAAGTTGAGAAAGGAAGGAGATAAGTATGGGGCAGAAGCTGGAAGTGAAATAAAGGATTTTCATAGAATCCTTACCCAATTTAGGGACAACTGTGAGATCAGAAACCATGTCTTCAGGCTGTTGCTTTAAACACTCTGTTCTTTCTCTTATGCTGTACCAGTAGCTCTTTACTGTGTTTCAACTTTATGGTAACACTGTTTTCCCTTCCTTTTTGTCTAGTACCTCAACATGCTAAGGACTTGTGAGGGCTACAATGAAATTATTTTCCCCCACTGTGCCTGTGATTCCAGGAGGAAGGGGCATGTTATCACAGCCATCAGCATCACGCACTTTAAACTGCATGCCTGCACTGAAGAAGGACAGCTAGAGGTGAGCATCAGCGTGGTCCTGAGCGAGGAGCATTACAGATGAACACTTTGATACTCGATACTTACTGTATTTTAGTTTCTATTTTTGGGCAAACGATATCACAGTTGTGTTCTGATTAAGGTAAATAAATAGGCACTGAACCTATACTAAACCAAATTCACTGCTACTTTTGCTGGCTTTCATTCTTTTGCCAGTCTTTGAAGTGCTGTAGACATCTCCAGTCATTTTTTTTTTTTTAATCCCTGGATCTGAATCCCCTTTCCTCAGCTTCTCAGACTCAACTGTAGAACTTACTGTGTTGGGGTCTGGGAAGGTGGCTCGGTGGTAGAGCGCTTGCCTTGCATGCCTGAGGCCCTGGGTTCGATTCCTCAGCACCACATAAGCAAAAAAGAAAAAAGTCGAAAGTGGCACTGTGGCTCAAGTGATAGAGCGCTAGCCTTGAGCTGAAGAGCTGAAGGACAGCGCCCAGGCCCAGAGTTCAGGCCCCACGACTGGACTACCCCCCCACCCCCAAAAAAAAAAAAAAAAAAGAACTTACTGTGTTGTTCTTGATTGTCTAGAACCAGGTAATAGCATTTGAATGGGATGAGATGCAGCGATGGGACACAGATGAAGAAGGAATGGCCTTCTGTTTTGAATATGCACGGGGAGAGAAGAAACCTCGATGGGTTAAAATCTTCACACCGTATGTGAGTGGGACATGGCAAAGCACAGGGGAGAACTCTGGGCTTCAGATTCCTTTGAGTAAATGCATCAGTTGGGTGGGGAGAGAGAGGAGAGGGAGAGAAAGAGAGGAGAGAGAAGGGGAAAATGGTTCTCAAGATCAGAACCTCTTTGAATCTTATAGCCCCAAGGTATTTTTCCTTGAGGCCGCTCTAGGATTGGCAGTTTCACAGCCCACTTGACTCATTACTGCCACTAGAAGGAGCTAAAGAGCAGTAAATGGCCAGACCTGGGATTTGTCAGGGTTTTCTCTAGATTGGATGTATTTGGAAAACAGGGTAGCAGAGCAGTAGTACAAGGTATGTCCCTAGGGTGCTCTGTCTTGTGAAGTCTTGTGACTGTTGTTACTCTTTTATTTTCCCCAGTTCAATTATATGCATGAATGCTTTGAGAGAGTGTTCTGCGAGCTCAAATGGAGAAAAGAGGTAAAAGAATTCTTTAATTAACTTTTATCTGTTTGTTTGTTTAAAATTTGTAGGCCCATGGCCAAATACCTGGGACCCTTACCTCCATTTCTGTCTTTCTAGGAATATTAGTTAGAGACTGATTATCCAATGTGGGCCAGAACATTCTTCCAGCGAGGCTGGCCTCTGGATGGTGAATGGGCTATGCAAAAAAGCCCTGCTTCTTCTCTTGTCTAGAGGGTGGACATTGGCATCAGGCTCTCCCATCTCTCATGACTTCATGGACCCTCTTCTGCCTGTCTTTTGGTTTTATTTTGTTTTGTTTAGTGAAATCACCTTCCATGTTGTTCCTGACCCAGAAAGGCAGCTGTTTTCAGTGTTAGCCATCTGACTGGATGAGTCATGATAGAGTCTTTATAGCCTAACAAAAGAACATATATGTGGGGAAAAGTTTTTGTAACTGCTGTCAGTGCTGGAGCAGAATTTAGAAGATTCTAAATACTTAACTATTTGTTCTCAAAGAAAATCAGAGGATCAAGAGGTAAAGTCAGGAACATGATATAGTACAATATTGGGCTTTGGGAATCGCATCTAGCTTTTTTCCTAGCTTTCTTTTCTCTGTAATTTTGGGTAACTCAGCTTTCTTAAATCTGAGCTTTCCCTTCCATAGAAAAGGAAGACTGAGCCTGGTAATTAACATTCAAGGTTCTTCTAATTCTAGAGAGAAAGTTAGTTGTATCAAGGAAACAAACCAATGAGATTGAGTCATACAGTTATATACTGTTTTAGTTTCTGTTTGAGGGTTGTCTCCAGATTGGAGGAGATGATGGCTTCCCAATAACTCTTCTCCTTTTTTTCCTTTCAGAACATTTTCCAGATGTCGAGGTCACAGCAGAGGGATGTGGCCACCTAGCCTTCCCTTTTCCCCTTCCCTTGCCTTCATCCTCTTATCCCTTTTGTCTCCCATGTCAGAGTAACCATTAACACAAAAGATGAGAAAAAGAAAAAAGTCATTATATACAAAAAGCCCTAAACTAAATATTAATAACTCCCTCTGAATTTCATGTCTTGAATTGAGCTGGCAGAGAACACAGATTGGTCAGTACCAGAAGTCCACTGAGATAAGATAGAAATAAGCCCAACCAACTCGCCAAAGGTATCTTTGTTCTTTCACCTGGGCCTCATACCAACAGACGCTCCTTGTACTATATTTTTAAAACTGGAACTATGAACTTCATCCATTTGCACTGTTCAGACATATATATGTATGTATGTAAAGAAATTATAATATACACAAAATTAGCTGCACGTATATACATATATATATTTCTTTTTAAATTTCATATTGATGGCAGTACCTTTTTTAGCTTGTGTTTTTACACACCTTTCACTAGAATTCATGACCTCTCGCTCTCTTTGTTTCAAAACAAACTTTAAAAAGGAAAAAAAAAAATACAGAGAAAATACCTCTCCTCGTGAAGGACTCGAAAAGTTTACAACCTTGCTTGGGTTCTTTCCCCTCCTTTTTTGTATTGAGTATAGTTTCTGGCTCATGGGTTGCCATAGAGTCTGAGGAGCAGGGTGTGTAGTTGCTTTATCTTCTAAGAGGGTGCTGGGGAGGAGAAAGGGGTGTGTTTCTCACAGGCAGGAAGGCTGCAGATCTGCTGGGAGAATCTAAAGGCTTGATGTGATCTCTTGCTTTCAAAGCAGTTTTCCTGGTCTATCTCTCTCCAACTCATGGTTTTCCAGTCCATCTCCCATCTCCTTCCTCCTTCTCTAGGGCCTTTTGTGTGTTTTTTTTCCAACTGTCCCCAGAGCAGAGTTGAGGATGGGCTCAGGAGGCTGATGCTGCAGGAACATAAAATTACTACTTTATGGTAATTTCCCTTCTCCCCACTTCTGTAGCAGGCATGGTACTACAGACCAAGGGTAAATATATCTCAGGCACAAAGGTTGGATGAATGGAAGGAAAAGAAGGAAAGATACCTGCAAATATAGGGTTTTTACCTACTCCACTCCTGACCAATTGCATTCTCTTGTGATTTCTTTAAATAGCTGTGGTGGGGAGGGAACTGACAGTATCTTCAAGGCCTCAGGGCGAACTTGGAATGTGTCTGTAGTCTGTGCCAGCTAAACGATAACCCTATTCAAGCCAGCCAGCAGAAAGTCTGGGAAGAAGTGGGATATGGTTGATTTTATTTGGCTCTCTTTTTACTTAAAAACAATCTGAAGGAAATCCTTTTAGTCCCTAAGAGCTATATCCTAGGTTCAGAGGCCAGGGCTGATACATAGGACAATAGTCTCAGACCCTGAGGTTTGTAGGTCTTGCCTAAGGAGCACTAAGTCAGGCTCAGATGCAGTTGAAACAGGTCTTTGAACACTGCCCAAACACCTGAGTAAGTCACCTCCGTGAGGTGGCGTTGTCTGCTTTAGCTAGCCGAAGTCAGCTCCTCTAAGCAGTGTTGAGGTAGCTTAAAGTTTCTCTTTTGTAACTTGGTTTTGCAGATCATAATAAGACCACTTTTCTGTCTCTCTTATTCCTTATGCTGGATTCCACTTGCCCTAGGGAGGCATGGAATCATATAGATACCCTGTCCTCTCTTCAGATCCAGGTGACAGACCCATAGAGTGCAGAACATAAGAATGCTGTTTGTTTAAAGTTGCAGGGGGTAGTCTCTGATTTGAAGGCTTTAATATAGGATTGACTCTTCCTTTTGGCTTGAAGTGAATTTAATAATGAGCCAAATAACCCTAAAAAGAAATTTATTTCCTGCTCCAAGATGCTAAAGAGGCTTTTGGCACCAGCTTTGTTCAAACTATAAAAATAGCAATGTGCCCCTACTCCCTCATAATGAGAAAGGAAAGAGCAAATTGAAGAGTGAAAACCCAAAGTCTCTAGTAACCCAAGTGCTGACCTCCAGAGATGAAACATGGATTTGGAGGCCCCTGAGAATGGGTAGATGGTGCTCTGCTCCCTTTTTGATTTAGCACTCACTTGGTGCTTTGGAGATTGGATAAGGGACCCCTTAAGTAGGTAACTGGCCTGTTGACAAAATATGTTTAGGATCAGCCTCTACTTGAAGCCGTCCTACTAACAAGAGTACCCAGCAGTAGCAAGGTGGTGGAAAGGAGGGAGACCCCGAAAGATAGCACGTTCTCTTTTGCTCACATCAGCCCTTCAGTAGTGGAGCAGAGGTCACTGTGGCTGTGAGGTCCATAGGGCCAAGCCCTTCTTTGCATGAAGCAGTGTTAGGTGACTTCTTAACCCCCTTCCTCTGCACTTCCTTTTTCTAATTCCTACTATGTTTCCTAGTCCTGGCTTCTGCCCAGGGAGGCATCTACCCAGTCTTTTTTACAATTTGTCTCCGAGAAAGGAGGGGCTTCCCTTCCCCTAGCTTCACCCCAGCAGGATCTTCCTGGCCTCCCATTATTGTTCTCTTTACACTGGGTTTCTGTTCTGTAGAGCAAAAGCTCAAAAAAGCTCAGCTTTTTTATGGAACAGGAAAAAATGTATGCCCTGAGAAACATGCCTCTGTAGAAAGGTTCCCTTGGGCCATGCTTTGAGCTCCTGCTCATTATATTTTATTCTAGTCTCCATTTTTTTCTACCCTCCCCTTGCCCTAGGCTTAAGCTCAGCACAGGTACCCACATGTGCGTGCTCAGGGTAGTTCCTAGGCCTGGATAGAGCTCTCAGGGAGGAATTAGATAAATATTCCAACATCCTCATGCCTGGACTGTTTTGTTTCATCTTTTAGTTACCCAGGCCAGTAGCTTAGATTATCCCCTCCTGTAACTCCAAACACCATGCTTGGAGCGGCCAAATAGGGCACTGACAGGAGGTAATGCCTTTCTCACTTATCTCAGAATTTGCCAACTTACGGGCCTAGTTTCTAAGAGACAGTTTCTTTTGAAGGACCGGTATGCTAGTTGACCCGATCTCCAGAGCTGGCGGACCACTGGACCCTCCCCTTCTCTTCATCATGCTATCTGGCAGGACTCAGTTAGCAGTAGACCTCAGTACACTGCTGTTCCTTCACCAGCTTCATTAGTCACATTAGCTTCCTTCTGGAGGAGGGAGGAAGAAAGGGAAAATACAGGTAGTGGGAGTGCTTCTTTAGCCGCCCCCCCATCTTCCTGTTCCATCTAAGCTAAACTTCTGAGCACATCAGACCAGGCTCTTTCATAGCAGGATAGCAGCTCCCTTCTTACCCATAACTGAGGGTAGATGGGAAGTGGAGGGCTCTGGGGAGGTCAGAATTGAAGAGGGGAGTAACATGGGGTAGGGCCCTTGGCCAACTGCAAAACTTGGATAACAATTTTATTTCATGCCCTCTTTTAAGCCAGTGAGCTGGGCCATGCACACTTTTAATTTATTTGAGAGAAACTCTAATTGTATTTTCACTGCAGTATCTTGTATTTTTTATTTGTGATTTAAGAAATGTGAAGAGAAAATACACAGACACATAATGGCTAACAGTGTTCCTTTCATTCCTTGTTCTAGAGCTAACCACTCTAAAATTGTTTGGTAATGTCACTTAGTGTAATTAATTGTAACATATTCTTTTAAATAAATTGATTTATTGATGAAACAATTCTTTGGTTTCCTAGACTACAAATCCTTTGGGTTGTGTGGGAAGAAGTGGAGAGACCTTTGAGATTTCAGCTAGTGTGGTTAATCTGAAAATGAGAAGGAACATGTAGCCAGTTTCCCCAAGTAAAACGTGAGCAGTCTTTAGAGAGCAGGAGATTGAGAGGGATGGGAGAACAAGAAGCCATGGAGGTCGTCCCTGGTTTGCAGTGCTGTGTTTAGTGGCTCCTTTGAAAGTTCCTTCTCCTTCAGCTCTTAGAGTTGATTAAGCTTGCCCCTCCTGTCAGCCAGCATGCACAAAATCCTGTTAGGATTCACAGCATGAATTCTGGACTCCTTTCCCAGCCAAGTACAGAAAGCCTGGCAGAGCCCTTGGGTCACATGTTAGCACTATCCTGCTACCTCACTGGCATGTACATGTTAGTTTCTGAAGTAACTTAGGCAACCTTATCTCTTGGGAATCTGATCTGAAAAGTCCAAGTTACCCTAGTGAATTCCTGGACAAGACCGGGCAGATTCTGGTTTTAACCCCTCTCTGCCCATATCCCTGGAAGTAAGGGTAAGCCTGCTGCCTTTGCCTTTACAGAAGAAATCCAGGTGCTAGACCTACTTACCTACACGTGTAAGAGTACCTGCTCCTTTGTGCATGAGGCTGAAGGCTAAACCTGCTTAGAAAACCTCAGCATTTATAGTGGCTTGGACATATTTACTGTTTTTATAATTCTTTGTACTTTATTATTTCTTTTTTTTTGGTGGGGGGGTCCAGTCGTGGGGCCTGAACCCTGGGCTTGGGTACTGTCTCTCAGCTCTTCAGCTCAAGGCTAGCGCTCTACCACTTGAGCCACAGCGCCATTTCTGGCTTTTTTTTTTTCTTTTTGCTTATGTGGTGCTGAGGAATCGAACCCAGGGCCTCAGGCATGCAAGGCAAGCGCTCTACCACTGAGCCACCTTCCCAGCCCCTACTTTATTATTTCTATAGCCCCTGACCAAAAGCCTTAGCTGATGACCATATAGCAAGGACCAGGGGAGAAATAGGAAGGATCTCATTCACCTAGCATCAGCATTGAACATTTGGAATCTGATATTACTGTGCCAACGAGATTTTTTTTCCTTAACCAAGGAAGGAAAAAAATCTACAAAAAAGTAAACAATGGATTTATAGAATTAAAATTACCAGAGGTTGTAGCCAGCAACCTATGTACTGGAAGATGAGCAGTGTGATAGGTACTGTTACAGATGCCAAAGCAAAGGAAAACATTCTGCCCACGGCCTCACAGGACAGTGAGATATTTACAAGTGATTATGATCCAGAGCAGTAGAAGGTGTGTTTTTTTTTAATAAGTTTTTTTATCGTGAAAATACTGTACAGAGAGGTTAACAATTACATGAGCAAGGTAATGAGT